GGGGGGGGGGTCAGTTTTCATCGGGCAGAGTTTCGAGCCTGTCCCGGTCTTTCTGCTTGTTAGTCGCCACGCTACCACAAGATAATCCCCGATCTCTAAGTCAAGCGTCATCGTTAGAGTGAGTCTGTGTCGACCATTGTCTTCGTAACGATAGCAATCAATCGGTACGGTTCCGTACGCGCTCCGGGCGCGCCGTAAAGATCCTCGGTCCAATCTTGTATATCGGCTTCGTCGTTCTCGCGCTGTGTCGCCTGTGTGATGTCTTCATTCGTCTTATTCAAATGAGACGGATAACCTTTTCGGATAACCTTCGATCGAGCGGAGAGAAACACCCCCCGCGAGAACCTTGAGAGGGGTCGAATGTCGAAACATGTGCGATCCGGAGTCGAAAATTTTGATCCCTGAAACGGGAATTTAAGATATGGATAAAGTAGGAGTAAAGTATGTTAGAATTGAACTTTGAACCTATTTTGATATCTTAGCTCCTGGTATGTTGTAGAATTAAAGGAAGTTCCACTATATTCCCGCAAGAAATACATTGTGCGCTCGTAAAAGCTCGAGAACTTCATGTCTCAAGGCTGTTATGCCGACTTGTGCACACGCATACCCACAGAATCGGTAAATTAAAGGTTGTGGCACTTTTTCTCCGATGAGTTTCGCAACGTATATGCCATGTCTAATCTAACAGGAGAATGTGTGTTTTGGTAAATTTCAAAAGATACGTTTTCCTATCGGATACGAGATGCATTGCGAAGCTTATCGAATGAAAGAACAAATGTTGTGACTTTTAATCTGCCATCTGTATGTATATATGTGTGGAAGATATTAAACTTTATGAAATACACTTAATTGGTGCAAAACATATGCGCAGCGGGCGCTCATCGTCCCGGACATTCTTCTCATTTCTCACGTCGAGAGAAGCTCCGCGCTTGTCTTCTCTTTCGTACTTATGTTGCCCCGATGTAAAACACCAATCGCGATTTTTTTTAAGAAGACTGGTTCTGAAGTCATTCAGTGTCATGGTCGTTTCCGCGTCTCGATGCAGGCATCACAGACCGGATTGACAGAGTGGCAGTAACTCGGTAGCTGAAAATGGGAGTGGCTGGAAGACAAGAGGACAGCTCGTTCAAAGACATCCTCGTGGCGCCTCTTCGCGGCTGTAAAGAATGAGAGAGAGAAAGAGAGAAAGAGAGAGAGAGAGGGAACAGTGGGTCTCAGTCAGGGCACGATCGTTTTCTGACGAAGGACGATTTCCCTTCTCTTCCCGACGCGAAATCTTCGTATCTTCCGTGCGTTTTTCCCCGCGAGGGAAATTCGCGCTCGAGAACGCGAATGCCGGCGATACCGAGCTGTCGCGTTCCCCTCCTCACGAGAATACACGGTGCACGCGTCACCATGAGAAACCCTGCCGGCGAGTTTCTTCGAAGGATGTGTCCCTTTTCGTCCTCGGTGGGCGGCACACGCCTCGCCAGCTTTAGGAACGAGAACCGACTATCAAAGTGTCGGTTTACAGTCGTGCGCCTACGTTACATGACGGTGCACCCTTTTTTCAATCGTCTCCTGCGCCTTCTCCTTCTCCCCTCCCACCCCCTCCTCGTTGTCCACCTCCTCCTCACGCTCATCGAAAAGCTCGAATACCCTCGTAGCGGACTGTTCTCAACTTTGCGCAATTTCTCATTCTATTAATTCGTCTTGCGGAGAAGGTCCCGAAGAACGCGGGCGAACATGACTGGATGAAGTTTCTCGTTACGCGCACCGAAGTGCTTCGGGAAGGGCCTAAGAAGTAGAACCCGTAAATTCGAGGGGTTTCGTTTCATTTTTTGTTCCTTTCTTTTTCAATTAACTTCATCCCGTCGGAAAAGTACGGGAGAGTGAGAGAGAGAGAGAGAGAGAATTAAGGGGTGAAGGGGGAGGGGGAGAAAATAGAAAGAAAGAGAACTGGACTCCCGGCAAAAGCTACGCGTTTCTGCTCATTCTACAGCTCGTTACGCGACCATTATCCCCAGCCTCGCGAATCCATTATTCTCTCTTCAGCCTCTCGAAGGTTCTTTTGCGATTCGCGCACCGTCCACATGACGCTGCGGAATAATGGTTTACGGTCGTTCCCCGACGCGAACCTCTCTGATCGCCGGCGTGCACATGCATACACACACACGCACACACACACTCTCTCTCTCTTTCTCGCGCGCGCGGTCGGCTCGCGCGCATAATCCGGTCGCAATCTTTCGCACTCAATCACGAGGCAAATGACGCCAGTTGGCGTTGGTCTAGAAGAGAGGCGAAATTACCGGAATGAAATTGATTTAAGCAGACGCCCGCGGGGGCTGCACGCGGCGAGTTTTGCAACCGGACGTTTCGGCTTATGGCCGATGATTGCCCCGTCTGTGAGGCGTGAATTCTGCATCGGTTCGCGCATGTGAAAGTAAAAATTCGAGCTAGTAACAATCTTCGGACGCGATTAATCGTCCCCGAGATCGTCCCGCGCGAGTTTTCTCTTCTCCCTTCCCTCTCGCGCTTCCATTAATCGCTGAGAATGATCGGTCGCGAGAGCGAATCGCGCGCAATTTCCGAGCGTTCGACTCTGAAACATTGTTCGACGAGAAGGAGACTTTTGTCCTCCCTCTCCCTCTCTCTCTTCAACTATCCAACCATCCCCCGGTCGCACTTGAGGATCGGTCTCTCATCGCGCGATCGCACGCCCCGGCGCAATTTCCCGTCGGCGATTGGCACTTGAACTTTCTTTAACTGCCAGCATCCACTTCGGTGAACGATCTCGAGCGCTCTCGAGCTCGTCGCGGACGCGTCCACGTCGTCACTTACTCATTGGATCTTTATATGCCCGCGCTGCAGCAGCCGTCCGCTGAGCGGTCTTTGTGCGCGCGACGGTGCGGCTACCGGGACGCGTTCATTTGACGGATGCACCTACGCGCGGCTCTCCCTTTCACGAGCGGTACGTGCCTTGAGCCGCATTCGACGGCCCGGCCTCTTACGAGGCGCGCACCGACTGCGTCCAATTCAGAAGCAATTGAATTCACAATTCCGGCCATTACGAGTGTCGGGAAAGGATTACGCACGAATGGACGGACGGCGGTGCTCCGCCGGGCTGTGCGTGCCGCATCTGCATCCATGCATAGAGGAGGGACAGTATGCATAAATGCATATATGCGCGCCTCCGTGCGTTGCATCGCACCGTACGTTGCACGGCTCGCGGGATCACGCTTCGGTAAAAATCGGTATCGGGAACGACGACGCGACGACGACGCGACTCGTCGCTTCTTAATGGCTTATGAATAGATATTCGCGGCTGTTTTAACGATTTATTAAGTGACGGCTGAGAGAGAGAGAGAGAGGGAATGAAGGCGCAGGTCGGAGACGCGGGCCGTAATACCGCTTGGAGCGACGCGTCTCATTTAAGCGGATTTGCGTGCACGCCGCCGGGAACGCGTCTTCCGTCTTCATCAAAGATTCGTGGGACCGAAGCAGAATGTGAACGGTGAGGGAAAGGGTATTTTGAGAAAAGAAATATTTATTCAGCGGGTACCTAAATAATATGTTCGCTTAAATCGAGGGAAATTCTCTTGATTAAATGGAACAAACAATTGCTTTTTCATGCTTTCTTGCGATAGGATATGGTTTCAAGGAAAAGGGTATTTTCTTCTTCGAAGAAATGTTTTTTCTCAGTGTAAAAATATAGATAGGATAAATATAGGCGTTTATTGACGCGGCTTAGTCCCCTGAGAGAGTTGCGGAAAGAGAAGGGTGCAGGGAAAAACTTGTAATTGGAAAGAATATCAAGTAAAAACAAGCAAGAAACAACAATATAATTAGACATTTCTATTAGATTAAAATTAAATACGATTGTCATAAATAGATTAAGATAAAATGTGTGTATAATGATGAAAAATCGGTTGAATCGACAAAATCAGCGATCACGCTCATTCAAAATAATATTGTGTCCATTAAACAAATTGCGCGCTGGCGCGACAATTACGACGCGTTGACAATTATTGACCATGTCGTAATCGTTGAATCAATTGATTACTCATTACGGCAACTGTACGATTCGTTCAATGGAAATGTTGCGCTTGAAAACTTTGGTTAGTTTAAATCGAATTGCGTTGATTCCGTCACTTGTTTTTCACAGTGTGTCGGTATTAATATGATGAATATTATTAAAATTAAGAGAATATGTTATCGCTGAGAAAAAATATTTCATTATTTTATAAATATTTCCCTCTCGGTTTACCGGCGTCGCGAATCACTCAATATTCCGATAGTCGCTTTCTTTTCTCCCAATTCGTCCTTGCGCGGACTCTACGCCCCGTGAATTTCACGACGCGTAAGCGCGGAGATGCACACACACTCGTGTCGGCATTACTCCCGGGTCGGATCGACCCGGCGCGTAATAACACTCTCATCAAGAATTCAATAACTTTCCAGACGCGAATCAATATTTCCTCGCGCGGCCGTTGCCGAATTTATA